AAACTAGACTCATTCTAACTACCATCCCAATCGAAGGCCAAACATAACCAGCGACTGTGTAGTATAGTAAAAGTAATGTAATAAAACAATTGGGTTTACAGGTCTCTAGATGTCCTGTTACTTCACTTTGTTTTTATATCTAGCCAAACGTAACAAGGTTGGAGGTAAAGAAACTAAACTACTCTAAGAACTACACTAGCTAAATTATATGTTGGGAGCTACTTTGGCATTGAAATCCCCCTAGCCACTAACCATGAAAAATGATTGATGAACATCTAACTTGATTCAATATTCATTCATGAAGTGTAGAGTCTTTAACTAGACCTTGAATCTGTACTTGAGCAATCAATGTCCTCTTGAGTCGGTTGCTTAGAGGGTTGTAACATTCTCTAAAACAACCAATCAAGGAACTCGACACCAACCCCCTCTATTGGGTGAGATTCCCACACAATACAAAGCAAAGTCTTGATACACACTTGTGTTACCGACCCCTTACTCCCAATATGTGATGCTCTAATTGACAGGGACGAGATACGGTCACAACCCCCTTTGGGGTTGTGAGATTCACAACCAAGGGCATTTTGGGTATAACAAAAAAATAAATTTATTAATTAATTTTTTTGTATTAATTACAGATTGGGAATTAAAAACTCATATTAAAAACATGCTTTTTTAAATATAAATCCTACAATAAATATTACTCTCTCCTCCTATCTCTCTCTTCCTTTCTAGCAGCCACACCACTCCGACCGGCTGACTTTGCGACCGATACACTTTCTCCGGCGAAATCCTTGAATAAGACTCGCTCCGGCCACCTGCAAAAAAATTATCGCTCCATCAGTGCGCTAATGGTACGCTATCGCTACCACTGGTACCACTACCAGTACAGCGGTACAACTACCATCTGGTAGTGGTAGAGTACCACTGTCATTTGGTACCATTACCTGGTAGTGGTACGTTACCACTACCATATACCAAATGGTAGTGGTACCAAATGGTAGTGGTACGATACCACTACCAGCTACAAGATGGTACGCTACCACTACAATTTGGTACCTGGTACTGGTACGCTACCACTCCACATAGTACTGACCAATAGAAAAAACCAGATCTGAAAAATCAAAAATCTCAGATATGAAAGACGAAGGGGAGGAGAAGAGATGAGGCATGGAGAGGCAGAGAGACTCACACGGAGAAGAGATCTGACAAACGAAGAGATGAGGCAACGGCAAGGGTGGAGGGCCGCGGATGATTGTAGAGGCGACAACTGCGGCAGAGGCTGTGGAGGGCGGCGAAGGCTGTGGTGGGTGGAGGGAGGCGGAGGGCGGCGACGGTTTTGGTGGACGGCGGCAGCAGTGGAGCCCGGTAGCAGTCACGTATGATGGAGAATTGGAGGAGGGAGAGAGGGAGGAGAGGGTTAGGGAGGAGTTAGGGTTTTCTTTATTTATATGGGAGGGAGAATAATTGGGTGTTGTAACCTTTTCCATTCCAAAAATATCCTTCTTTTAATCTTAACCATCGATTTGAAAAAAAGATGAAAGAGACAGGAGAGAGCATATCCAATGGTTAGAAAGTGGGTTGTGAATTTGACAACCCCCAAAGGGGGTTGTGACCGTATCTCACCATAATCAGATTTCCTCTCTCATAGGTCAATATCAAACTCAATTAATGTTGATCAATGGTGAATTGAACATCAAAACATTGGTGCGACCCCGTGCGGGTTATTAATATTGATGGCAACACTTGTATTAACTAACTCATCTTGAGCCAAATATAACTCAAGATGACATTGTTGATATAGTGGTCGACCAAGGTCATATTCCACGGGAAAGTTCACGACGGGAAAGGGGAAGATCGCGAGCATGATCTTTGCAGTAGAGGTTGTTGGAGGCCACCCTTTACACCTTTATGGATGGGAATTTTGCAGCATTACATCAGGGTCGTGATCCTGGATGGCATGGTCGTGATCTTTATCGCGGGCATGGACAACGGGGGCCAAAGTTTGATTGTTGAAACTCTCTAGTGCTACCTTATTGGGTGCTTCTAAAGTTCGCACCCATGGCTCCAATCTTTGTGGTTGTGATCTTGGCACTGGAGGCCGGATCTTGATGCACAACTTCACGCCCTCTCTTCATGGGCATATATCCTTGGTCTTAGTCGTGATCTCTCATTTTCGCACATAATTCTATACGTGTGACCCTTTTTTCGTACCTAAAACGTTTGTATCATCTAAAACACCCTAATATGAAAATATTTTATTCGAGGAACGAAGTAAGGATGTATTTGATGACTTATCAACTTGGTGTTTGACTGTTCCCAAGTAAACCCACTCAAACTAGCACAACCTGGCAAACAATCGACATGGTATGCACTATAGTTCTTCGTAGCACTAGTTAGAATAGTAGGGGTCGAGTGAACATTACTCCTATCTCACTGTGAAAACACAAACTCCCGGATGAGGACCATGTCGACTAAATAGGTTTAGACATTCAAAATGTGCATCGAGGGACTCTAAAAAACAATAAAAACAATGGACTCTTTGAAGGTGTACTTTATTATTTCTTTTCAATGAGTCATTTTTCTAGTCTCCTTTTTTAAAGTTTGCCGCAATTGGCACTAAATATTTGCAAATTTGCAATGAGGCATCTCTCCCTCGTGACCAAGAGTGAAAGGATATTGCCTTCCCATTCTCAGCTTATGGTGTCAGTTTGACTACATTGTTCTTCATTAATTTGGATCAATCTGAACTATTGAAATTTAATGAGATGCAAGGCTGAAATTCACTTACAGATCGTTTGGTACCAAAAGAATCGAGAATTCATTTCATTGTAAAATGAATTACCACATAGAATCCATTGTCAAATGAAATCTTGTGTTTGGTATGTCATATTCAAATATTTAGAAATAAAATGAATTGTCATGTAGAATTCACTGTCAAATGAATTCTTGTGTTTGATATTTCATATATATAATGACATATGACATTACAACAAAATCACATTTCGTACTTGGATCTGACATATAAGTGAACTTTCAAACACACTCATATTACTTTCAATTGTTCAACTTATAATTTCAAAGATAGGTTAGATGAAAGAAAAAAAATTCAAAAAGGGGGCGCATTTCACAAAACAAAAGGGAAAAAACGACGACCTGTGACCTCCAACACGAAAACCTTGTATGTGACACCCGTTTTCCTCAGCGGGTACCGGATCAACTCGCGGATTGACAGGTCTTGCTTGTCAGGCTTTATATTGGTTCTCCACTCAAACCTCCTCCCGCTCACCCCTACTTTGACTTGAACCATTGAGTATTGATGCTAAAAAATTTGAGGCTCTTACATCCCACCAAAGTAAGTTGTTGTCCCTTAATTGTTGAAAACCCGGTTTAGCTTATTTCTCAAGGTGCTCAGTTTTCACTCTAGTCCACATGAAAATCAAGGGTAATTTAATTATTATTATCCACATTTTACAATTAGCAAGCCGGCTTAATTAACCCGTACCATGCCGATTAACAATTTGTTGTACCCACTTTCTATTGTACTCGGTTGTCTTGATGGGGAACTTCCAATGTAGGAGGGGGTAAATTAATTAAGTATGTTTCCAAACACTAAGAGACTAGATTAGTCTTCACAAACCCCCAAACTCCAGTTGTTGATCTTTGCACATATGGGGTTTTTTGAGTCTTAGGTTGCTTCATCAACGGGTTTAGGTTTTTGGAGTGAGAAAGAAGAAAACGTTTCGTCATGATTCAAGCATGCTTTTACATTAGGTTGCTTCATCATGATTCAAGCATGCTTTTGGAGTGAGAAAGAAGAAAACGTTTCGTCATGTTTTTCAAAGTGGTACTGTTTGTCTAATGGATTGGTACTGATTTCGTGTTTTTTTTTTTTTTGCAGAAAGATTGAGAAAAATATGGAAAGGAAATCTGTCTGGAGATTATGGAAGTGAGAGAAAGAGAAAATTTTAATTAATAGATTTTTGTAACTACCTATAAATGTAATTTATTAAAATTAATTAATTAATATAATTTATTTTTCCATACCCAATTTACCCTTAGTAACCATGGTGATTACTACTTTTGTAGTAATCACCGTAACCTGTCCCCTATCACTGTAGTGGTACAAACAAAATCATTATGGCTGTTTAAAGTGCAACTACCGTAGTAGTTATGTTTAGAATGGCTTTCTATGATAGAGCTATCAATGGATTGATATATCTGCAGTGAAAGTCTTATTGTTGATCTCATCTATCAGTAGTTATATTTATTGGTTTGACTTTTGATTTTACCTTCTTTGATTTCAGTCAGAGCAGTGAGTTCCTCGAGAAGTTGTGGAGCGGTGTTGGATGCACGCTAGGAAAGACAAATCGCACGGAGCAGGGAGTAGAGCACGTTCCGGACTACAAGCGAGAGCGATTAGGGAGCTTGCAAAATGAAGCAATGACAATGAAGATATTTATGGTCCAGCAACTCTTAATGTCGAGTTTCAACGAAAGTTAAAGAGGCTTGAGGTGGAAACATATATTGTATTCATTTGGTTAATCAAATTGATGAAGAATTTAAAGATTCATATTTTGGGAACTTTAATGGTATTTGGTGCTCTATTTTCACATTAGTAGTATCCTTCCCCTAATTTTTATAGTTTAGTGGCGTGTAGTGTATTTCTTCTATACCAAAATACAAATGAAGTGGTACATTAGAAGTGGCAAATACGAATTGGAGTGAGAACAATACCAGTGCAATGATATTTTTCATAACAATGATAAACAATAACGGAGCAAAAATGCAGTACCACTTCAATGATACAAATACCAGTAAATTCCCTCATGCCATACTCTCTGTGGTACATGTATCAGTTTAGTGATACATGTATCAGTTCAGGGGCGGGGCTTCTTGAGGACGAACCAAGCACTACCTTCCTTGAACCGGACATTCACCGATGGTCCATGCACTATCTTTCAGGGCGTAGTAACATTGTGGACAATTCTTTGTTTGCAGGCACCTGTTGGCTTTTGTGGAAGAACAGGAATGAGCACCTCTTCCAAGGCCAGTTGAAATCTTATGAGGAAGTCCAGTTTAGGTCCAAACAACTCCGACAGCAAATCAGTCAAGCACTCGCAAAGGAGACCACCATTTTTGGAGCCGGGGGACTCCGAGAATGGCGGGATGTTCAGTGGCACCCACCGCCGAGTGGCTGGGCCTGCATCAATACTGATGGCTCAGTCACTCATTCTCCTGCGAGCACGACTTGTGGCGGCATAGTGAGAGGGGACGATGGACGATTCATCCGAGCTTTCACAGCGAATTTGGGAAGGGGTTCGATTACTCGTGCGGAGCTGACTGGGCTTGCTTATGGGTTGAGACTGGCTTGGGAGGAGGGGATCAGGAAAGTTGTTCTACAGACTGACTCGTGCACTGCGATTAACCTGATCGAGAAGTCTACTCCACAGCATCCACATTTCACCTTGGTGTCTGAGATCCGCCGATGGCTTCATCAGGGGTGGCAGGTTAGGATCGAACATGTTTACAGGGAAGCAAATTACGTGGCGGATCACCTTGCTTCCGTTGGTCATTCGTTACCCATTGGGTTTCACGGGATCCAAGTCCCGAATAGCACTTTAAGATACTGGCTGTTCTTTGACTCTTCGGGGGTTCGTACACCCCGTCTTTTTATTACGCAATAAAGGTTTGGACGCCCTTAGCGTCCTGTTTTCACCAAAAAAAAAAACATACAAACGGACTCCTACCAAAAAAAAAAAAAACATACAAACGGACAGACATGACGTGACATGTAGATAGAGTCAACGATAAGAACAAAGACTCCCTTCTTAATCAATGAAATTGAAACGACAACAACTTGATTAGATTGAATAAATATACACAACACTAAATTATTTGCTTGTATACATCTGCGATGAACGATCATGGCATGAATTGTAGTGGACCGGACGGTGTTTTGTGGTGAGAACCAAATCGGAACTCTAGGTCAATAAAAGTGGCGTAGTGGGCTAGTGGGGGTGGGCAATGGGGTCGGTATGCATCGGATCGAATCGATATTTGGATCGGATCACACCGAATTGAATATAATATGATCTGCTCCTTGGTTCTATAAATTTTAAAAACACTGAAAGAAAAATGGACCGGACCAAAGCGGACCGAATGCACTATCGATCCAGTCCTTGGTCCTAATATATCTTTTATTATTGGACCACGGTTCTCGTGAATTTGGTCTGATCCGGTAACCGATGCCCAACCCTATTGGCCGGCAACCGGCAATCCCACCCCAGTACAAGAAAAGAAAAGAAATTAAAATTCATGTATTTCTCACGGTAGCATGAATTAGCCTTCATAACCTAATAATTAAAACCAAAAGAAGAGAGTAATTAGTTTTCTCCCACCACTTGGCTTTGATGGCTGGCTATATAAGAGAGAGATGGCTCACTTCCCCAGTTGGATATCGCACTTCAATTCCCATCTTCCCTCCCTTGCACAATCAACAATGGCCGCCGCCACCAACCTTCTCACCTCAGTCTTCATCCTCTACCTGTCTTTCGCCTTTCAGTTGTTCCCCTCTGGTAATTTCATCCTCAATACGATCATCAATCAGGAGTTTAACCGTCGCGGTTAAAAAACAATAGTCGGAAGTAAATTGATTGGATAGTATTGTATGCAATAATTATGTTTACAGGGAATAGCGAGCTCCAATCGAGTTTTTATATAATTAAGTTGGCATGCATAAATGAAAGTTGACCAGCATTTTGACTTATCCTATGCGTTGCTCTGCCTGCTTTGAATGTTAACTATTTTGATGCAGTCGTGCGATGCGTCGCTACTGCTAGAAACGGCGAACGGAATCAAATCGGAGAAGGACACCAGCCGAAGCTTCGGGATGAGGAATTTCAAGTACGTCGCCACCATCAAGCGCGCCCTCGAGTCCCACTGCCCGTCCACCATCTCCTGCGCCGACATCGTCTCTCTCTCTGCCCGCGACGGGATTGTCATGGTTCGAATCACTCCACCACACAATCGAAAGAGAAAAAAAAAAGAAAATTTAATCGTCGGCCTTAATTCACTAATCAAAATTTTGTTGATCATATTAATCCAGCTGGGCGGCCCGAGAGTGGAGCTGAAAACGGGGCGCAGGGACAGCAAGCAGAGCTACGCTTTGGATGTGGAGAGCTCCATCCCCAACCACAACGACTCCATCTCGGCCGTCCTCTCCCGTTTCGGGTCCATGGGCCTCGACACCGAATCCACGGTCGCTCTCCTCGGGGCCCACTCCGTCGGCCGGGTCCACTGCGTCAATCTGGTGGGCCGGCTCTACCCGACCGTCGACCCGAATCTCGACCCGGAATATGCCGGGTACCTCAAGGCCCGGTGCCCGACCCCCGACCCGGACCCGAAGTCCGTGCTCTACTCCAGAAACGACCGCGAGACGCCGATGATTCTGGACAACATGTACTACAAGAACGTGCTGGAGCACAAGGGGTTGCTTTCGGTGGACCAGCAGCTGGCTTCCGACCCTCGCACGGCGCCGTTTGTGGAGAGGATGGCTGCCGACAACGCCTATTTCCACCAGCAGTTTGCCAGGGCGGTGGTGGTATTGTCGGAGAACAACCCGCTCACTGGGGCGGCGGGGGAGGTTAGGAGGGATTGTCGTTATGTAAATGGCAACTAAACGGGCGGGCTTGAAGTGAAGTCCATATATTTATGGGCCTAAGGCCTTTGATGTCGAAGTGTTACGATATGTAATGACAGCTGGATCGGTCTTTTGAGTTGAAAGTGATTTCGAAATAATATGATGCATATGTATAAGTGTTGGGCTCGTGCTCTAATAGACCAACTAACATCAGCGACCATAGGCTAGCACTACAAGCAGGCATCAGTGGAAAATAGCCACATTCCACCTCCACAGTAAATGTTTGGCATATACACATATTACTCTCGCATATCAATAAGTAGTGATGGCAATTTGAATTTGCCCCGTCGGGTATTATATGATTTGATCTGCGATGGGGTGTAGAAAGTAAACTTTTGCGCGTATTTTTTTTTAAATAACATGTAATAGTGGGTAGACTCGCCCTACCCTGACCCGTACGAGTATTACCTGCCTCGACCCACAATAGCGTAGAGCAGAACATGAATCTATTGAGGTACCCGCCCGTCCCATTGTCAACACTATCTATAAGTCCAACCATCACTATCTATTGAGGTACCACAAACATTTGTTTGACAAATAAATAAGGCCGATGCTACGGTGCGGCGATAAAAATTGCGGTACCGGTGTCGCACCCTCTAATTGGGCCACATGGAGATTATGTGGCAGTGACTGGATTCATTTAACCTGACCCAGAACCATAAGTAACGACAACTGAACCAACCCCTCTCCCACACTAACGGAGAACCTTTATCCATCCAAACACTTTATTCCTTTTTTTTTGTTTGCCCCAAATTATTTTGTCTTTTAGTCAGGAAGGAGGCTTTAATTTGCTCTCATAAGAGCCGGAGAAGTGGACGTTGCCGTTTTCCCTGCTCCAATAACGTTGTGAAGTCGATGATCTCTCTTTCCCGGTGTCCCGAAAATCCCTCTTGGCACATTTTTTTTTGGGTCGAATCAGTTCGTTTTCATTCCCAATCAATTTGCAAGACGCAAATGAAAACCGATTACAACAAAAGGAAAAGCTCAGAGTGAGTAGCTCAGCAGAAAGTTCAATCAACTAACAACTCTTATACAATAGTCTATATGTCATCATTGGCGGAGCTATGTTAATGACAGGAGGTTATATCCACTACTCAACTCTCAAAATCATGTAAAATTATATATAAATGTGGTAATAAATTAGCAAAATATAGTTGCCGATAAGTTGTTAGCCTTCTTTTAGTTCGAATTCTTTGTGTGTAAATTTTTAGCTCTCTCATTCGAATTTCTGACTCACCTACAAAAAATCAACATTACTATTACAAGAATCGAAAATCCTTACAGACACCCTAATATTCGAAAGTCTCTGCTACTCAAATTTGTATTTTTTAATGAATTTTTAATGTTGACAACTTGTGAACAATACTTGTCAAAATCGGTGGCCTTTGTGTAAATTCAATCCAAACTAATAATAACACTAATATAATCTTGAGACAATACAACAAGACAAAACATAGCCGCAGAGTTTTGATTGGTGAAGACTTTGACTGTGTGCTGGTTGGCAATGTAGAATGCAGATCTTCAACTGAAAAAACAAGAAAACCAAAATTCTTCAAACTCTGCTTTCTCTACCGTCGATAATACACATATTCATCTGTCACCAGTTACAAGTGTGTTTGATGCACTATCCTTTGAAGTTTCTGCATCCATGTTTGAGTTTCACATGATGGGTTATGGCAATTTGGGGCCATTTCTGGCATTTGCTTTCTTCCACTCCATCTTCTTCTGTACTGTTACTCTTCTGAATGTTGCTACAGCTTCTGGGATCGATGGCAACGAGACGGATTGCCAGGCCTTGCTCCACCTCAAGTCCATGATCTCTAGCGACCCACTCGGGGCTCTGAGCTCGTGAAACGATTCCTCTCATTTTTGCCATGGGAATGGTGTTACTTGCAGCACAAGCCACCAGAGAGTTACAGTACTCTACTTGTGATCGATGCAGCTCTCAGGCTCCATATCCCCACAAGTTGGCAATCTCAGCTTCCTGAGAGATCTCTACCTTTCCAACAACAGCTTGATTGGAGAGATTCCTCCCCAGCTCGGTCGTCTCCACAGGTTCGAGAATCTCTATCTCCTCAACAACTCCTTCACTGGCCGAATCCCGCCAGATCTGTCAAACTGCTCCAATCTCGTGGTGTTCAACGCATTCAGCAACCGTCTGGTTGGCGAAATGCCCCCGGAGATAGGATCGATGAACAATCTGCAGAACTTTGTCACCAACTCCACAACTTGAGAGGAAACATCCCTGCTTCATTTGGGAACATGTCCTCTCTCAAGATACTCTCAATGACCGGAAATTTCTTGAGTGGCAAGGTACCTAGTACTCTAGGAGAGTTGAAGAGCCTCTCCGTTTTGACCTTGTCAAAGAACTGTTTCTCCGGTGGAATCCCTTCATCGATCTTCAATCTGTCTTATCTCACTCACGTGTATTTAGGATTGAACCAGTTCCATGGAAGTCTTCCGCCGGATATGGGAATCTCGCTCCCCAATCTCCAAAGCTTCGACGTCGCTCTCAATTATGATGAGGGTATTTTTTGGTATTGGGCTTTTGGGTATTTTTCGGTTGGGCTAGGGTGTTTTTTCCTTTTGGTTTAAGTTTTCCTTTTGTGATTGGGAAGGGGTAGCCGAATAGGGGTAGGACTAGGTAATTATTAGGCTTTTCTAAACCTATAAATATGTACCTTTGGCATTAGTTCTGTATCAATCAATAAAGTTAAGGTTTATCGACACCAACGTCGTTCTCTCGCTCGTGAGTTTCGAGCAAATCCCTAGAACGGAGGGAATCTGTTCATCAATTGGTATCAGAGCCTGGTTCCAAATCCGTTCGGGGCCAGATCGCAATGGGTACGGGCACAGAAGCAGAACGATGCTCAGCAATGGAAGCTGCGGTGGAGGACTTGCAAGCCCTAGCACAGAACACTGCGTCGGGCCAAGAGGAGGTACGGGGGCAGGTAGCCGAGATCTTGGAGACGTTGAAGTCTCTGGTGGCCAAGGTGGAGGCATTGACACCGCAACGGGAGCGGAAGAAGACCGTAATGGTTTCGTCGGCTGGAGAAGAGAGCTCGGAGGAAGGGGACGAGGAGAAGAGCGGCGCGGAGGAGAAGGAGGGAGAGAAAAGCACGACTGGGATGAGAATAGGGGAGAGGAGCTGGAACCGGTCGAAGATAGATGGCTGCAGTGGTGTTCGTACGGGGCGGGGAAGCTTCGGCGGCAAGCCAGCTGGCAAAGGGAGTGGTCGCACTAGCGGCGGGGGCGGGTTTCTGGCGAAGCTCGCGCGGCTTGAATTTCCCAAGTTTGCAAGGGATGATCCTGGATCATGGTTTCCTCGCGTCGAGCAATTCTTCGAGTATCAGGAGGTCCTAGAGGATCAAAAGGTACCACTAGATGCATTTCATCTGGAGGGAGAGGCGAACCAGTGGTGGCAATGGCTGAAGCGCACCTACAAGGACACTAGAGAGCCGATTTCGTGGGGGGCTGTTCTCGCAGGAGCTGTGGGCGAGGTTCGGACCGACTGAAGGAGAGAGCTGTGACGAAGCCCTGTCACGGATTCGTCAGACTGGGACCCTGCCCGATTACTTGAAGGAGTTCGAGAAATTGGCTAATCGCTGCGTCGGCTGGACGCAACAGGCATTGGTAGGCACTTATTTGGGAGGTTTGAAATCGGAGATCGCGGATGAGATCCGAATGTTTTGACACCAGTCTTTGCGCGACGCCATTAGCTTGGCCAGGATGAAAAACTATCAAATCCAACGCAGTAAGCCGGCTAGTCGCGCGTTGTCGTTTGCCGGAGGAGGAGGGCCGACAGGCACTGGTGGAGGTGGCCCTACCGACGGAGGAGGTGGCTTTAATCCGAGAACTGCAAGCTCGGGATTCCAAGGAGGAGGAGGACCACCGCGTGGGCCGCCAGGAGGGAAGAGATTGAGCCGGGAAGAGCAGCAGCTGCGAAGAGCTCAAGGTCTCTCCTTCAACTGCGACGAGCGATTCACTATCGGTCACAAGTGCAGTAATGCTACGGTGATGTGCTTGTTTGAGGAAGAAGAAGGCGAGGGTCAACCTTGGGGACAAGGTTGATTTCAATGGGGGAGGATTGATGAGGGTATTTTTCAGTATTGGGCTTTTGGGTATTTTTCGGTTGGGCTAGGGTGTTTTTTCCTTTTGGGTCAAGTTTTCCTTTTGTGTTTGAGAAGGGGGTAATCGAATAGGGGTAGGACTAGGTAAGTATTAGTCTTTTCTAAGCCTATAAATATGTACCTTTGGCATTAGTTCCTTATCAATCAATAAAGTTAAGGTTTATCGACACCAACGTCGTTCTCTCACTCGTGAGTTCCGAGCAAAACCCTAGAACGGAGGGAATCTTTTCATCAAATTACTTGACCGACAAGCTACCTGTTTCGTTCTCCAATGTCTCGAATCTCGAGCATCTTCAGCTATAGGGGAATGACTTCATAGGTGGAATGCCTAGTTTAGGGAGAGCTCTCCACCACAATTAAACTACCAATATAACCATCTATACCATAAACAATCAATATCATTGTAGAAATAAATCTATACCATTACACGAAAACTATCAATATAAACAATCTATACCATAAACAATAAATATCATTGCAGAAATAAATCTATACCATTACACGAAAACTACCAATATAACCATCTATACCATTGCATATAGTAACCAATATCACTGCACATTGAATCAATAAACAATAATTACTAGATCTAGGTTTTTATGTCTATTTGGTATGTATGTTGTGATGGTAGAGAGAAAGAAAGAGAGCAGCGGAAGAGAGAGAGAGAGAGAGAGAGAGAGAGAGAGAGAGAGAGAGAGAGAGAGAGAGAGAGAGAGAGAGAGAGAGAGAGAGAGAGGTACCGAGGGTGGTCGGGGGCTGCTGCCGGCAGTGGCCGAGGGTGGGCGGGGCTGTTGCCGGCGGTGCGACGGGAGTGGTACGTGGAGGCGGCTGCGACGGGTTTGGCTGGAGGTAGGATAGAACTAGGGTTTAGGTAGATTATAAAGAATAATCAGGTGTTGTCACTTTTTAATTTCTAAAATTACCCTAAAAGAATCTTGATCGTAAGATTAAAAAAGAAGGAAAAATAATTAATCAAAAAGTTAAAAAAGGGAAAATAATTAATCAAATGGTATATAAAGAGGTTGCCACGGTTATTACTAAAAAATAAGTAATCACCCCAACCCATTCCCAGTGATAGCACTACCCACAAAAATATCACAACGAACTACCACTGCAGCGATAGATCTACCACTAAAGTGATAGTCACAGTATGCCACAAAAACATTCACATGGTTAACTATATCAATGTGGTGATAGACTGCAATCAAATAAACAACACTACATTATCCAAGAATCAACTATCACTGGAGTGGTATACTTCCGTACCAGAATCAACAATTTATACCACTCCAGTGATAGACATACCAGTACACAGGTACTAATACCACAAGAAAAAATCCAGTTCTCGAAACTCAAAAACACAGATCTGGGTGATGAAAAGACCATTGCACTAGTACTAATACCACACGAAAAACCCATATATATGAGTTTGGGAGAGAGTACTACCTCAGATTCTTTTTCGTCGTCTTCGCCGGAAAGGGGAGGAGGGCCAACGCCGGAAGGGTAAGAGGGTCGTCGTCTTCGCCGGAAAGGTGAGGAGGGTCATCGTCTTCCCTGTCGATCCCTTCGCGTCGACGATCGAAAAGATAGACCTGTGGCGTGAAGTCGGAGGATGGCCAACGGATGGGATGGGCCGCCGATGGTCGTTGAGGAATCGTAACGGAGGCCGGAAGGGTGATGATTTCGTCGCGGGGAGAGTTTACATCAGGGGAGGGTTTCCATAGATAGGTTATTGAAAGGGAGATAGGAGGAGACGAGAGGGAGTGATAAAAGGGTGAGGGTTAATTAATTTTGTATTGACCTTGGGAACCATTTTTTCCTCGATACCCGATTTCTTTCCTTTTCAATGTAGGTTATAGAGCAATAATTACGTGATTACTGCTCAATAAATAGATGTCTAATCCTAACCATTCGTTTAACACTAATAAAAATGGATGGCATCTAAGTGGGGTGTCAAAAATCAAACCCCTTATGGGGTAGTCATGCTAACCGCTCCCATAAGAGGGTGCTGATTATTAGAATAATACATAAACTTTCTATGATAACGACAGTCGGAAGAGAAAAGTTGCTATGTTGAATGTAGTTGTAGCTTGCTTCCAAGTCCAAGCGCTAGCGGTAGAAGCGAGTCGCCGGAAGCGAACTTCCCGGCCGGGAAGGAGCCAAAAAACGTGAGCGCCCCCGCAATCTTTCTAAAGTAACAAGCGTGTTTTGGGACTCTATACTGACGATGGTATGCCGTTAGCCACCTTGCCACATGCTTTTCCGGCTCTCTTGGACAGTAAATGGAAGGCAGCGAACACGGTTTTTCAGAGGCCGAGTGCTTGAGATCATAACTGCTTACAGCAGCGCTCCTGGCGCGAGACTCTTTCGCCGTTAATGAATTCGGTAAGGAAAGGAAGGGCGTCGATATGCACTGGCTCCCTAGGAGGCCTTGGTTGTGGAGCTGAGTGAACTCTCCTGGGCACCCCTTGCGCATTTCCCCCCGAGCCTTCTGCATTGTTTATGAAACTTGGTTTAGTTTGCTAATAATTTTTTGTCAATACACATGTTGATATTGTAAATAAATGTATGTTTATATAAAATTTTCAACAATGAAATGGTTGACCAGCCTTAAAATCGTGTGAAAATAATTTATGAATGGTTATTTGGTGGGTAATATTAAGAGCGAAATATTGATAGTTTGGAAAACTATGCAGTTTTAAAATAATTTCATAATATTAACCATGAGATCGCATCATAGGGTCATTGTCTAAAATTTATTTTAGTGCACCCTCTTAAATATAATTCTGGCTACACCACCGATTCCGGCGCCTGGGCCGCCAGTTTCTGCTTTCCTTCGAACGTTTATAAACTGACATGAATCGATTAGAAGAAGAAAATCAAAATCGTATTTGAACAATTTTTTGAAATTTGCGAGATGTTCCCGGGGACGGGGTCAAAATTTTATCCGTTGAAGAAAAGATTCAACTGATTTTTTGCCATTTTTTTACTAGTTTGCATGTAGGTTGGTTTCATATATCAAATTGGATTTAATTATTAATCATTTTGCTTTTGTTGAGTTGGAATGCTGATGATACGGTAAAACACAACACCAAACTGCGACCAAGTGTAATCACAGTCCGGGAATGCAGTAAAGTAGCAAGTTCTAATGTCAACCCGGGGTCTAGATCTACTGCCTACTCCGTGATTATCTATTATCTAACAAACTAAGTCGAGTGATTGTTGTTTTTAACTAAAAGTAGTAAAAAGCAGGAAATGGTTCGGTTTTCTGAAGTCAAGGAAGAGTCACTCGGGAATGAGTCCCCCTAGCTCCTTAGTTAGGTCTCAATTGTAATTACCCTGGGTTGATTTACTGCTGGTTAAACTGCGGAAGATCCGACAGTAGCTTGGAATCTCTTAAGCTGACCAAGCCCTCTCAGTCAAACTACCCGGCAGACGACTAGTCTTCACCGGGATAGAAAGCTG